GGTTAAAAGCCATACAGGCAGTTCAGTCCACTACAGGGCTTGGAATCTTGACTCTTGAGTGTATGTAATGGCAGGAAGACCTTTGAAACAAGGCTTGAAGGCACCGAGGAGAAGAGCTGTGGCTAATGTGTGGAGTAGAAATATTTGCAAAGGAGGTGCTGTGGTGAGGAGCAGTGCTGCTGGGACTGGGCACCAGCTTCACTCAGGAGTGTGTGTACTGCAAGGCAGAGCTGTATCATGAGGGATCTGGAGGGCAAGGAGCTGTTTCCTTCCAGATGGAGGCAAAATCCCTGTGGGATCCCACTTAGGGAGTGCTAAAATAACTAAGCAGGAAATAAGATACATGATGATGCTGGTAATTGTGGATCAAAGGACAGGAGAAAAGGCTTTCACCCCTGCAGCATTGTTCTCTATACCTGTGGAAACTGGTGGTTCCTAGGCCTGAATTAAATTGTTCTTCTTTGACCAGAAAAAAAGACAACATGAAACTAAGCTGGGGGAGCTTGAGTAAATAAAACAGGGATCAAAATATGTTTGTTGGCAGATACTGAATACCAAGAGCCCACATAGTTCTCCTCGAGATCGTGCATAGCTCTGGGCTTTGACCTGATCTGGGGCTGAAAGCAGTGGATTCTGTCAAAATCTGGGCTACCATGGCACATAGCATTTCCTCTTTGTTCTGCTCAAATCTGCACTGAACCCTTGAATGGTGTCTTCATGATGATGATTTCTCTTAGGAAGTAGTTCTATTGGGGAGTAACCAGATGCTTTTTGTTTGCTGTATTCCTGAAGTGTCAAGAGAAGGCCACAACTGCCAGAACAGTACCACAGCCCCTTCCTGTGCGAGTACACTTGGGCACAGGCTGTGGGTGCTGAGGACTTGTCTGCCAGTGCTGTCCTGGGTGTGAGTGTGTGCCTGTGAGTCAGAGCTCTTGGAGCTGCCCCATCTCAGGCTTGGGGTGCCTCTGCATGCTTTCTGGGCAAGCAGCAGCCCATCCTTTGGGTGGACAGTGCTGCTGCTGCAAGCCTGGGAGGTTCTGGCTCTCAGGCTGATGGTGGGTGCGCTCCAAGGGCCTGGCTGTGCCTCTCCTGGCCCTGAGGCCATGGAGGAGCCTGTGCTGTGGGAGCAACCGTGAGCAGTTCTGTTCTGCTGGTGATGGTCGCATTGCCTGTGTCCCTTTTGCTTCCTCCTTCATCTGAACCAGCTTTCTATTAGGGAGCCATTTTAGGGCAGGGAAGCAGATAGCTTGTGCACCTTAAATTTTTAAGGAAGAGTGGGTTTGTCCTCACTCAGGGTTGATGCTTTAGTGGAAAGCAAGTAGCTTAGAGGCCCTGTGTTTGCTGCAGAGAAGAGGGTTAGGTAGCCAAGGTTAAATGTGTTTGTTTCTCTGCTCACACAGGCTTTGAACATGGGGAGAAGAGGTGTAACCCAAGTGAGCTTATGGTATTGCTGCCTTTGATGTGTGAGATGGGTGTTTCATGTATAAAGAGCACCTGGATGGTTTTTAAATGCAGGCAGGTTGTCTTCTGTGGGGCAGAGCTGGCAGCAGCCTCCAGGGAAAGGGTGGAGTGGTCTTGTCTTTGCTGAGGTTGATTTGTCAGCGGTTTGCAGGAAGTGCCAGGATATGCTTTGCAGAGCTGCTTCTTGTTTCAGAAGAGATCTGGTTAATGGAGAGAGATAACGTGCCCTGGTACCACTCTTCTGTGTACCCCTGTACTCAAAAGACACCCCCAGCTCTCCCAACACTTGTCTGGCCAGTCTCCTCCTCCAGTTCAGTGGTGGCAATCCCTCCATCCACCGATGTCAGGCCATGCCTTCCTACTGTCTGATGTGTCCCTTTGCATGTTTTCCCTGCAGGGCTCAGAATGGAATGCCTCCAATTTGGAAGATTTGCAGAACAGAGGGTAAGTAGCTTCAGGCCATCAGCTTAAAAGCAAGAGCCTGGCCTAAACACTTGTCTATGCAACAAACTCTATTCCATACCTGCTGTGTAACCTGAATCTTACTAAAGAGTTTGCAGATCCAAACAAGCTCCCTCTTCCTCCAAATTCCACATCCCACAAACAGGCACCCTAAAGTAAAAGAATCTTACTGCTTGACCTTGGCTAACATCCCCAAGGCAAACAAAGGAAGGCAGCAATCTCATGGCTATAAGTAGTAAAAAGCTACAATTACTGAACTGGATGCTGCATAGTTGGCTCAGTGCCCTCGGCCCCAGCCCGTTGTTCGGGACTGATTACGGAGGCGCTTTGGAGTCTGGACCTCTGGACTGTGGCAGGAAGGAAAATATGGAAAAGAGCATTTGTTGCTTTGAGTGGGGCCCAGTAGGAAGTCCTGTAGCACTGATGGGTTCCTCTGGCTCCTGCCCTTTCTATTTTTCAGGCTTAGAGTGGCCTTTCTCAAGGCTGGGTGGATCTAAGCATCAAGATTTTGCAATTAAGTCATTATTTACAGGTTTGGCTTATTTGTGCCAATCCCATGGAAAAAACTAATCACTCAGCTGAATTGAATTAATAGCATACTTCTGTGCCTTGGAAATTCAGCCTGGTAAAACTGACTCTCCTTGTTCAGCTTGGGGTCTGCTGCAGGTTCCTTGGGTCCAATAGATCCTGCTTGACTGCCAGCAGCCTCATACCTCCTTGGGAAGAGGGATGTCACTCCCTTGCAGTGCCTTTGTTCTGCCTGATATTCCAGCATGAGTGCAGTTCATAAGCATCTCAGGAGTAACCCTCAGGGCTAAAAATACTGAGTGTAGTGTACATAAACACTGTATGCTTTCTCTAGCAGTTTCCTTTCCAGAAAATTTAGGGATCAGAAATAAATCCTTCCCTGTGGCTCATTGTCTGTTACATCTCTCTAGTTATTTTATGCGTTTGTTTAACTGTGATATTACTTTAGAGCTTATTCCTTCCATCTTCCTGTGGTTTTGGTGCAGCAGGAGTCACACAGGGGCTTTGAGGAAGTGTCCTAACACTAACTGAACAGTCTGTGCAGGAGCTCCTGGGACACAAGTGTTGCTGACACGTAGAACAGAGGTGGTGGGTAGCAGTGTGACCTGATATAGTGCAGAGGAAGTTTCTATCCAGTGTGGATGGCAGCCCTGTTATCAGGCTCTAAACTGCTCAGCAAAGCCTTTTGTCTGTGTTAGCTGCTGTTTCCTTGTGTTAATTCCTGGTTTCTCAGGAAGTTTGTTCAAGACTGCACCTGCACAAGCTGTGAGTGCTGCCCCTCATGAAGCAAGGCAAGGCTGCAGCGTAGCAGTGTGACATGTCTCTGAACTTGCTGTGTTGCTCTCTGCTGTTTCCATGCAGGGTGAGGTATATTTTGAATGTGACTCGAGAAATAGATAACTTCTTCCCTGGACTCTTTGAATACCACAATATTCGGGTGTATGATGAAGAAGCAACAGATCTTCTGGCATATTGGAATGATACCTACAAATTCATCTCTAAGGCAAAGTAAGTCTTTTCAGAACTGAACAGACACATTTAGAAGATGTATACTAAGCATTTTGTATTTTTCTGCCCGTTTTCTTAACTACTCTTCCTCCTTGCCTTCCTAGCATCAATGCATTTCGTTTTATAGTTTCTGTCTCAGAGTTAGGTAGTCCTAACAAATGGTGGTATCAAGAGAATCTTCCAGGTTGGTCCATGATGGGGCTTTAGGCTGGATTTGCAACTACAAGTGTCTCAAGAGATGTGGATGGGAGCTAGGTGAGGAGTCAAACACCTGACTAAAGCAATGTTGGTCTCATTCAACCAATTGGAAAACCTAATATACTGTCAGAAGTTTCCAGTAGAACATCTGTGATAGAGGCTGCTCTGAACTGCTCAGTATCTTCCAGGGACGTGTTTTTAAACTGTGACACCACATTGGTGGTATAGGTGCTCTTTTTGGAATACTGCTTGATACCAGTGGGCCATTTGGGCTGAGCTCAGGGATGCCATATTAGTCTTTAGAGGTCTTAATAAATGTCTGCAAACCAGGTTTGTCCACTCTGCAATAACAGCTTCAGAAGAACTGTTGTAACAAAATTGAGAATGTTAATAAGACCTTGTTCTTCACTTTCTTTGTGTGTCTTGCTCCAGTTTATAAATTGGATTATCAGATCACATCCCAGACTTCAGCTGTGGCCACAGTGTTGAAAATGTTTGATAATGCTCTGGTAAAGAAGTTGCTATTTTCTTAAGCTTCTCAGAGACCTTGTTTTCAGTTTAATAATCTCCACTTTGGTCTTTTTCCCACTTAGGAAAAATGGTTCTAAGTGCCTGGTGCACTGCAAGATGGGAGTGAGTCGCTCTGCATCCACAGTGATTGCCTATGCCATGAAGGAGTATGGCTGGAACCTGGACAGGGCCTACGACTACGTGAAGGAACGGCGAACCGTCACCAAGCCCAACCCCAGCTTCATGCGGCAGCTGGAGGAGTACCAAGGGATCCTGCTGGCCAGGTGAGTGGAAGGAATGATCCTGATTATCCATGTTAAGGCATAACACTTAAATTATTGACTCCACTATTTTAATTAGAACTGCCATCGCTGTGTTATGTAAGCTTGGAATCGTCTTGGGAAAGCCAGTGCTCTGTTTTCATGGGTTATCTCAGCTGAGCCTGGGAAAACGGGTGTAATAAAGAGCTTTTAGGAGGCTGTTTGACTTCTAGGGTGTCTGCTTTTTGGAGAGCAGCATCCTGTGAAGTGCCATCCGAGTGCAGCATTCAGAGCTGTGCAGACTCCAGCAGAGATAAATGATGTTCCTATTGCTTGTAACATCACTTGGCAGGGAACTCGCTTTGTCTCTGTCGCAGCCTCACAGTTCCCTCTTGAACATGCCCCTCCTCAGCAGCTGGTCTGGTTTTATTTAGATCCCTTCAGTAAGTGTTGGTGTGAGGGGAGGGGACAGGATGTTCTGTGCATTGCAACAGTGGTGTTTATTCCTGCCTGGAGTCCTGAGGCTGGTCTGGAGCTGGGCCTGGGTATGGTCAAGTGTGTTGTAATCCCAAGCCTATCACCTGACTAGCAAAAAGACATAAATATTGCATGTTTCTAAGCTGTGTTAGGCAATGTCCTCACGTGATCAGCTGGAAGGGAGGTAGTGATACTGTTTTGCCAGATTACGATATTTTGTTTGGGATCTGCAGCAAGCAGAGTTACCCAAGCTGAGCCTCCTGCCCCAGGAGGTGGCTCTTGGCATGTTTGGACCAAAGTAAACAAATTTCAAAGCTGCTTGGTGCTGTTGAAAGGTGCCTGCTTATCATAGAATCATCTAGGTTGGAAAAGACCTTTAAGATCATTGAGTCCAACCATTGCCCCAGCACTGCCAAGCCCAACCCTGTCCCCAGGTGCCACATCTACACGTCTTAAGTGCTGTTCTTTACAGCAGCTCAGTTACTCATGTACTATTGTTATGGCACACTTCTCACCTCTGTCCCCTGCTTGGCTTTGTCACTTTGAATCTCTTCTATCGACTTGCAAAGTCCTCCCTTCCCTTCTGTTCTAATGACTTATCCTTCCTCTCCACCTGCTGCTGGCTGTCTGGTGCTGGGCCAGGTTTGGATTCCAAATTCTTACACCAAACTCTGGTGTAAGCTCCCCCTGTCACAAAGTGTGCTTC